ATAAAATAATTAAGTTAAAAAACGGGGCTGTTATTGTCAAAATTCAACTTTTCAGACAGATTCCTAAAGGTGGAATTTAGGGTCAAAGGTAATAAACATATTCTCGAGGCTCATGGTACCTATTGCCTAAGTCCCTTATTTTAAAATCTTTGCTATTTTGATAGGTGAAAATATGCTATCTTTTAATTTTATTGTGCATTCTTTCTTTATCTCTAAGATTCAACATTCTTTCATGTTTATTGGGTGTCTGCACTTCTGTTCATATCCTTTTTGTCTATTTTTCTGGTGCAGTTTTTTTCTTAATATTTTGTAAGGTTTGCTTGTAAAATAAGGATATTAACTCTTTATCACAGTGTTAAAATACTTTTGCCAGTTTGTCATTTGCATTTTGGGGTGCTTATTGTTTCTTTAGACACTTAAGAACTTCTTTTATTTTGTTGGAAAATCTCATTCTTTTTCATAATAATTAATTGTATTGATGTGGCCCTTAGAAAGTGCTCAATTTTGATATTTTCTTCTGATTTTAAAAGGCTTCGTGTTTTACTTTTATGCTAATCCACTGTAATGTATTTTAATCTATCGGGTGAGGCTGTAATTTTCATCTTTTACAAATAACTAAATTTTCCATCATTTTTTGAATAATCCAAATCTTTCTCCGTTGGTTCCTTTATGAACTACTAAGTATTAAAATGTTTGGGGTCTCTCTTAGGTTGACTGTTCTGTCTGTCTAGCCACTTATCAATTCTTATGCCTAGAGCATAGTGTTTCAAAGTAGCTTTCAGATCTCCTTTAATATTTAAGGCTCCTCCTCTCCTCATTATGCTTTCCCAAAACTTTCTTAACTCTGCTGGTATGTTTATTTTTCCAAACGAAGTTTAATCACCATGTGATTTGTTTTTAATAAATTTATTTATTTATTTATTTTTGGCTGTGTTGGGTCTTCGTTGCTGCACGCAGGCTTTCTCTAGTTTCAGCGAGTGGGGGTTACTCTTGGTTGCAGTGCGTGGGCTTCTCATTGTGGTGGTTTCTCTTGTTGCGGAGCACGGGCTCTAGGCACGCGGGCTTCAGTAGTTGTAGCACACGGGCTCAGTAATTGTGGCTCGCAGGCTCTAGAGCGCAGGCTCAGTAGTTGTGGCGCATGGGCTTAGTTGCTCCGCAGCATGTGGGATCTTCCCGGACCAGGGCTTGAACCGTGTCCCCTGCGTTGGCAGGCGGATTCTTAACCACTGCACCACCAGGGAAGCCCACCATGTCATTTTTTTAAAGAGCAGCAACATGTTGTTTCCATGGAGGTTGGCTGGGTTAGTTACGTGCAGCTCTCGCAGCCTTGCTGTCTTTGCCGAGAACCCCTTCCCCATCCCCCACCCCACCTCGTCACCTGGGTAACTCTGGCCACTGGTTTAACTGCCCAGTTGTTCATCTGTCTGTCTCATGTCACACTCCCCCTGTCTCCACCCCCACTAAACTGTGAGCCGCTTAGCAGCAGAGGCAGAATCTTGCTCTCTTCCTCTGCTCAGCAGTCCAGCTTCCGGCAAAAGGTGTTAAATAAAAGGAAAGCTCGAAATAAGACCCGGGTAGAGGTGAATGTGTGAGGTGATCTTCAGCCTCGATCTTGAGGAGGCCTCAGGATGCTCAGCTGGGTCTTCCTGATCTCAGAACCCCCTCCAGGCCCCTTCCTGATCTCCAGTCTCTTCAAAAGACTTCTCTGAAATCTATGTCTCACTCCAACCTTCTGCAGAACTGCTGTCACACAACCCACGTCCGAGGGATATTATGAGATGATTTCGGCTCAGGACCTAAGTCAGAGACTTCTGGAGCTGAATTTTAATGCTGGCAGCACAAAGTGTGAATAAACATTACCATGCTTTATTGCTCTAAATCTGTTGCTAAATTCCTTGCTTCTCTACGAGTCAGAAGCCCAATAAACAACTTCTGCAATGTTCCAATAACTACCTTGACTGTCGTTTCGGATATTCTGAATGATTCATAGAGTCTTCCTGCTGATTCCAACCACAGAAGTACTTTCTGTCTAAAGCCATTAAACCTGAAAATCCATAACTCTCAGGTTCATTGGAACAGTTGGGAAAATAAGAGGTGCTGAAAGTGATACCTGGAGCTGAAAGTGGCCACAACAAGACTTTGAAAGCAGCACCTTTCTACTTGATGAACGGGAACACAGGTGACGGTATACCTGTTTTCATCCTTACGTAGCTTCCAATTTCAAAGATGTAGGGAAGGTCTTGCTTTTGAAATGGAATGACTGTCTCATTGGGAACACTTTGGGCTAGAAATAGAAGGGGAGCCACGTTCCTCTCTAATTACATCCTCAACCAAAGATGCTTCATTTGTCCTGGGTCAACAATCATCACCCCTTCTAAATCTGCACCCACACCCTGTGTTAGAAAATAAGTGGAAGGACAGTCCCTGATATGTATGTAGGCATGCTAAGTTTTCAAATCTGTACTAAGATTTTATGAACAGAATACTCCATGCTCTGGCCCTATATATAGGCAGAAGAGCAGGGTACTGCCTGAGTGGTAGGATTGAGAACGCTGCTTACATTTATCGCCCAAGCCCACACGCCCACACCCAACTGTCACAGAGCCTGAAATTCCTACCATTAGAGTTGCTACTTTTGGTTGAGGCAGAGGGCTTCAAGAAAACCCTTGTTCAAATATACATATACCAGGCAAGACTTGTTCCACAACACTCAGCTGCACGGAGCATCTCATTTCTTTATTTTTCTATTGCAAATAAAACAGGGCCGGATGGCTTATAAAGAACAGGAATAGGGAATTGGAAATAGTGACGTAACAGCAGCGAAACCTTGCAGATACCTCCTTCACCGAGTGACAAGGGCTGACCTGATCAGTGATGTCATGTGGGTGTCATGCACGTACCCTCTGATGTGACGTGATGTGATGAGAAGGGCAAGTCCCCAGGTCCCATAGCTCCAGTCTAATATGAGAAAAATATCTGACAAACCCAATCTGGGAGACATTCTACAGGATAGCTGGCCAGCCCTCCTTAAGACTGTCAAGGTCATGAAAAACAGGAGAAGACTGAGAAACTGTCACAGATCAGAGGAGACTGAGGAGACGTGGTGATTAAGTACAACACGGTACCCTGGATTAGACCCTAGAACAGAAAGAGGACATTAGTGGAAAAATTAGTTACATCAGAATAAAGTTGGGGTTTAGTTAATATAGAGTACCAATGATGGTTCTGACTTTTGACAACATACCATGGAAAAGTAACTTGTTCCCAATGTTTACCCCTCACTCAATTTGCCTCAGTTTGGGGCAAATTGAGTGAGCAGTAGACATGAACTCACTGTACTATCTCTGTAACATTTCTGTAAATTTAAATTCTTCCAAAATAAGGTTTCTTAAGGGTCAGGGAGAAGTCCAGTACCCATTTTATTCTTTGGGGCTCCCACCTCCAGTCTTGGGCTATAAGGAACCCTGGGAACTTAGTAGGGCCATAGTAGGGCCCCTCTAAGCGTGGGGTCAGTGCTCAGCTGGTTCACCTTACATCCCCTTATGGGTGCAGCCCGCGGCCACCTGTTCGGTGCTGTGGATCCATCGGATGCCAGCCTCACTAGCTCCGTGGGCCCAGGCCAGCCTGGTCCAGGTGCTGGCAGGCAGTTAATGGTGAGTGCTCTACTCTTCACTTGCCAGGCTGGGTACCTGGGAACACTTGCCTTGCCTGTTAGAGCCTCAGGGATCAGCACCTGATCCTTCACTGGCCTGCAGGTAACCAGCCCTTGTCCAAGGTGTCCCCTTTCACAAGGTATTGCCTGCAAGCTAAGGTGGGTCTTCATTCAGAACCTCACTCCTTGCATCTGGCCAGCCTTGGGGCTCCACCCCTTGCACCCTCCCCTTCAACCCACAGAGCCCTTGTCCTTGCAGTGGGTTAAGTCCTATCTCCTGCAGGAACCTAGACTGTTGAAAACACAGGCATCTAAAGCTCGCCTGAGACAGGAGAAGTCCAGACATCCAGGACACGGAACCTGGCTCCTCTTTTGGAAGAAGAAGGAAAAAATACCTCTCATTTTTTCCTGATGAGCTTACAGCTGAGAAAAAAATAGGCATAGTTAATTCTCAATAGTTAATTCTCATAGTTAATTCTCATAGTTAATTCTCACGTTAAATGTTCAACATATGGGGCTTCCCTGGTGGCGCAGTGGTTGAGAGTCCGCCTGCCGATGCAGGGGACACGGGTTCGTGCCCCGGTCCGGGAAGATCCCACATACCGTGGAGCGGCTGGGCCCATGAGCCATGGCTGCTGGGCCTGCACGTCCGGAGCCTGTGCTCCGCAGTGGGAGAGGCCACAACAGTGAGAGGCCCGCGTACCGCAAAAAAAAACAACAAAAAAAGTTCAACATATGGCCTCGTACCACCAACCTGTAGAGGGTGACACATGACCCAGTCATGGGAAGAAGTAGCACCAGGCCCTGTACCACCTTCCACCCCCCCAGAGGGAGACGGAGAAAAACGAAAGGATGAAAGAGTGCCAGGAGCATTTGTGGAGAGTTGTCAACAGGAGTAGCCACTACAGGGTAGTATGGGGGTCCTTTACTATCTGGTGGGCCTCCAAGGTGACCACTCTGCATAAAAAATAAATCCAGCTGTCCCTGCAGAAAAAGAGCCTTGCAGTGTATGGGAGAATTTTCTTTCCTGATATGAGTCTAGATTATACTGCCCCTTGAGGCTTCATACTTGTCCCTCCTTCAGACATGCATGAGCCTGCTCTAACAGACCAAGTGCTCAAAGAATCAGGAGTGCCTCCCATGCCCATAGCAGAACAAGGGGACCCAGCCTAGAGGGCTCAGTTACCAAGGGGTCTGGACCACCTCTTCAAACATCACTGACCATCAAGCTGAAGCCCCAAGTGTCACTCCAGACAGAACAACTCCAACCTGAGCAAAAGCAACGGGGGTACCGCAAGGGGGAGGCATAATTCCAGAGCATGAGCCCCCTTCCATCGGCTCAGGTTGGGTTTCCCAAAAGAGGCAGGGGGAGAGCCTCATAAAGATCGTTGGAGAGCAAGGACCCGGAGGACCCTGCTTAGGATTCGGGGGTGTGCTGGGATGGTGGCCACTATAGCCAGTTTATAGAGGGCAGAAGTTTGTTCAGTGTGAGACGTGGTCCAGGACAAGCTGTGGTCTCTTGCCCGAAGCAAAGGCAGTGGAGCGTCACTCAGGACAGCCTCAGAATTGAGGTCAGGGATTGTGGCTGATTATACAGCCTCCAAGCTTTATTCTCCACCCTCCTGGGTTCTAGGACAGCATCTAATACACTTAAATAAATGTTTTTTCTGCTTCAAGGGGCCAGACTTGGTCTCTGTTATTTGCCATTAAAACCTTGATTGACACATGTTAACTCCTCTTATCCCAAATTAACGTAGATAAATGTCACGTGGAGATGATTCCCTTGAACCTGGAAACAGTAAATTAAATGGACATAATGGACTCTTTCAGCAAACAAGACTAAAAATGCGTTTTTGTTTCCTCCTCCCATAACACATATTAAGTAACCCCATCTCACATTACTTCAGCACCTCAGAGACTCAAACCACTAGGAAGCACAGGAGGACTTGTGAGTTAATTACAATAGCCTTTGCAGGGTTCAGCTTGTGGTTTTCCTCCTACAATGAAATGTGAAGCATGGGGGAGGTGAGCTCTGCCATGTGTTGCTGCTAGTGTTTTTTTTACCAAGGATCCAAGGCTGTTTGATATTTTTGGCTTTGTCATTCCCATTTCCAGTCCCGTTTTGGAACTAAAGCAATACTGAAGTCCAAAGGAGTTTCAGAACTACAAAATGGTCTGTTGGCCCAAGGTAAAAAGTTAAATTCCTGAGGTCCCTCTTCCCATTTTTTCCAGGTTGCTTTTGTCATGTAGCAAGTGGACTTTCCAATACTCTTTAGTTCCTTCCTCCTTAGTACTTACTGCAGGCTCTTTTCCGCCTCCGTTTATCACAGAATCTATTTCGGGGCTGTGGACTTCTTATCTCTTCTTGGGACTCCTCCTGGACAGCGAGACTTCAGACTCAGGACTGGGCACCAGAAAGAAATCAAGGTGTCACCACTTTGCCCTTGGATTCCCAAGGACAGTGTGGCTAAATTTCCCGTCTTGCCCACACCCTGTCACATGACTAGAACCCAACAGAGAAGGAGTTCCCATAGCTGATATCAGAGCTTGGATTTTATGCTCCTCATTCAGCTCTGAAGTTTCAAAATTTGAGAGAGAGATGGAGGGTGCATAATGAAGTCGTTTTTACCCTCTGTGAACTTGGGGCACACTTCAGCACAGCTTGGGACTCCCTAACAGTTAAAAATACCAGTGCTACGTACTTTACTCAAGGACAAGTGCAAACTCTTCTGGCCTCTGTACACTCCTCCGTGTGTGTGTGTGTGTGTGTGTGTGTGTGTGTGTGTGTATGTGTGTGTAACTGACCCTTGTTTTTCATAGAACCCAGCTTTGCCTCACTATATCAGATATTCAGTCTCTAAGAGTGACAGAATCTGAATTTTTCCACCCTGAATTTAACCTGTGTGGTTCCAGCCCCCAACCCAGGGTGACCTCCAAGCTCTTCTGAATCTCCAGATCCTGAGTAGCCTCCTGTGATTGACGAAGGAAGAGTCAGGGGAAGTTGTTGAAGGCAAGAGATATTTTCTGTGAAGCTCCCCATAAGCTGCACAGGAAGACAAATTAGAAGTCTTCTCCTGCTTAATGAAATTTCCTACAAAATTCATCCAGCCAACTCGCCATTCTGCATCATCTGTAGATAATGGATTACACTGACCCAGTGCCCAGCAGAGTAGGTCTGAAATCAATGGTGATGAATAAATAAATGAAAACATGATTTGCATTTAAGCTCAAATAGCTAAGAAAGCGTGATATTTAGTAGCACCTTTGCAAATTCATCTTTTCATGGCAAACTTAGCCTCCAAACCTTGGGTGTATACTGAGGATGCAACTTTCACATTGGCCCATAAGACACATTGTCCTCAGCTGCCTATCCCACCCCTATCTCATTTGAGCCTAAACATAAGAAAGGACAGGAAGTTTTATTCCAGTTTTCCCAGTGAGGAAACTGGGGCTGTGTTATGGGCTGAACTGCATCCCCCCAAACTCATGTGTGGAAGCCTTACCCCCCCCAGCTCCTCAGAATGTGACTCTATTGGAGATAGTGTCATTAAAGAGGTAATTAGGCTAAAATGGGGTCATTAGGGTGGCCCTAATCCAATGTGATTGGTGTCCTTATAAGAAAAGGATATTAGGACACAGAGAGGACATCAGAACATCATCTGTGGGAGCACAGAGAGATGACCAAGGGAGAACACAGCAAGGAGGCAGCCCTCTGCAAGCCAAGGAGAGAGGCCTCAGGAAAAAAGCAAAACAAAACAAAACAAAAATCCTACCAACACCTTGATCTCTGACTTCTAGCCTCCAGAAATGTGAGAAAATAAATGTCTGTCGTTTAAGCCACCCAGTCTGTGGTCTTTTGCTATAGCGGCCCTAAGAGCCTAGCACAGGCTCAAAGATGTTAACACCCTGTAAGAAATAGAGTGAACTTTAGTCCACATGCCCCAATTTGAAACTTCTTTATCAAATAAAACAATTGACTTAGGCGAAAACGCCCTGCTTTGTGGCTGTTAACCTGTAATGGATCTCTGATTTACTTACTGCTTCCTCACTGTTTAATTGCCCTAGGGCTATACACACACAAACACAAATTCCAACGTTCCTTTCATTTCAGGTGACTTTTAGTTCAATTAGTACTTAGAGCAAAATGTTCATTTGATCCTAGGCAGGGCAGCGCTGGAAAATAATTCAGGGTCCACACCCCCTATTTCCCCAAAGAAAAGCTAAAACGGCCCTTCTTATCTGCCCTTATTTGTCTAATACTCACATTTCTTATTTGAGCAACACGCAGAGAATGACAAAGATCCTGAGAAAAATTAGACTTCTTCAGGCAGACATAATTCCAATTAAAACAGCCCTTGGATCCTGACTTGTCTCCTTTGGGGAAAACTGCAGTGCACTGCTCCCCCACTCAGGCCAAAAGTGACCAGGCACTGCGAAGGGGTCACCGCTTTACTTCTAAGTCTAGGCTTTCCCTGCCAGTTTACTGTCTGGGAGGTGGCGGCAGAGCTCATTTGCATTCCGAGGCAGAACTGAAACTTGGGGGCGTGAGCAATGATTTGCATTATGAGCCCATTTCCCCTTTTCCTCTCTGCTTCCCCAGGGACGCTCACTAAGTCCCAAGTGGGCCTGACGCCTGGGGTCTGCCTTCTTGAAGCAGAGAGAAGGCCCCTTGGTCCCAAAGACAGCTCTGGAACAGGTGGCCCAGGAGCCAAGCTGTATTCTGCGCAGAGCCCTCCCCCTGCTGAACCGGCTAGAGATGCCTTTGTTACCACTGGGGTGGGAAGGAGGCTGGAGGAAGGACACAGCTGACTTTCCCAGCAGGCAGAGATCAGGCACTGACCTGGTTAAAATAGTAACTGCTGAAAGTGACAGCGACATAAGCCATGTGTGCAGCAGTCACAATCGGGGTTCTCCAGCCATGCTCTGGCTGAAGACCAACCTGAGTGCTTTTGTACCCTGCCCAGCTCCAGGACCAAAACCTAAGTGTTTTGGGAATTTGCATTCCTGTCTACTAATGTAAGTACTGTACTTTAACTGGATTCCTTAAAAATATGCCTCTGTGTCTTCATTATCATCATCTTTGCAGTTTTCAGGATGATCATTAGATTTTTATCAATATATGCACAACTGGCAAAGATTCCAATCATGCCACTAAAGAACAATCCCAAAGTCTCTGACCTTCATGCAGAGTGGGGAAGTTGTCATCCCACCCAGACTGTGACATGGGGGCGATACGGCGGCTTGGGAGGTGTGTGAATCTTAGACGTGTTAAGCTCTAAGTAATGCAGCTCTTCCCTCTCTTCCAGCGGCCTTTGAAGTAAAGGCAAATTTAAGTCTGCTGATCCCCAAACATCATAAAATGAGGTGTAAGGACCCCGGGGCAGTGGCTGATTGCCCATCTAAACAGCCACCACAGAGGACGCACTACTGATGCATTCCCAATGCAGCACAAGTCCTTTACTAAAGATTTTATTAAGGAAAACCATATTTTTCACTCCCCACTAAAGCAAGTTTGCAAATTTCTAGATACACCTCAGTTTTAATACCAAAGCTCCAGCAACATACCCAGCTACTAAAGCAAATATTATCCTACATTAAATGGAAACGGCTCCCTGAGAAAAATTCCCTACATGTCAAGCCAGGGTTAAACCGTCTAGAATGAGAAAGACAGAAATGAGTGAGGTTTTCCTTTCCAGAGAGAAAACCACTTAGAGGAGACCAGGTTCCCGGCAGGGAAGCCTGATAAGTGTCCCCGTGGGCTGCGAGGGGCCCTGGGCCAAAGGAGGAGATGAGACGGGGCTCTACACCCAGGGAGGCGGGGGACGGCAGGGGCGCAGATGGAGGTGAGGCTCTAGAAGGAAAAGAAGGGCAGAGCCGTGGTTCGAGCCGTGGGAAATCCTCAAGCGATGATTTAGGAAGTGAAAAGGGACTCACAGCCGCGGGTCGAGTAAAGTGGCTGGAAGCTCCTAAGGGGAGCGGTTCCCAGCGCGCTCCCCACTCCCAGGGCACCTTTCAAAGCCCTGCCTAGACACCCGGACAAAGAGATTAGCCGGCTCAGAAACTCCTCGTCTGCCTTCCTCTCCACCTCCGCCCCGCCCCCGACCGCGGGCAGGCGGGCCGCTCGCAGGCTTCCTTTGATTCATAGATGGCTGCGTTTCCAACAACCCTATAGGAAGCAGGAGGGGCTGAACCTCCAGCCCAGGCTTTCGGGGGCCTAGGGTTCCTTCAAAGAAGGAAATGATTGTGTTGACTTAATTTGGAAGCCCCGAATTTCATGTGCCCTTAATTTGAAAGCTGGATTTTCTCTCCCACTTTCTTCCTAACCTGAGAAACAGATCCTTAGCTGGAAAGCTCCAGCTCCAGAGGGAGCATATGGCCACTGTCACTTGCAGAAGGGAGGGCTGGATGGACAGAAAAATGGTCTGGCAACATCTCAGTTGACACCAAAGGCTAGTAGCTCATCAGTAAGAGAGCACTGCCCATGCCGGAGATGGAGGCCCTGAACAGATCCCAGACACACTGAGGCTTTAACTGACAGTGACTTAGGGCACTGGTAGGAGACAGGGGACTGCACCAGAGGACACACTCGCAGTTGCCTGCTCTGAACCCAGCTTCCTGTCACCTCGATAAGGTGTCTTTTCAGACTGTAAGGTCCTCATCCTTTTTATATGAATTGCATGCCCTGCTGTCATCTCAGCCGGCCCTGTTCCATTCCTCAGTCACATCTGTCATGTGGAAATAGAAGAGGAGGACTTGATTCTTAAACCAAGGGCCTCCATTAGCTACCTTTAGTTTTTCTCCAGAAATTGGAACAATTAATTGGATGGTTATAAACGACAGGAGAAAGTTTTGTTATTTTTAGCAATCTATAGCGAATGTAATAAAATTCAGAGTCATAAAGCAGAGCCTGCTGGATTTCTTCTTCATGTGGTGGTGATATGACATTAAAGCAGCTCTTTTTTCCAGGAGGGCATTTCCTCTCTGCTTGCAATGCTGCTTGATCAATCCCATCCTAAACTCTCTCCAGATAGGAGATAGCTGAGACAGAGCTCAGAAATAAAAATAGTGCTTTCTAGAAGAAAGAAAGAAAGAAAGAAAGAAAGAAAGAAAGAAAGAAAGAAAGAAAGAAAGAAAGGGAGAAAGAAAGAAAGGGAGAGAGAAAGAAAGGGAGAGAGAAAGAAAGAGAGAAAGAAAGAGAGAAAGAAAGGGAAAGAAAGAAAGGGAAAGAAAGAAAAGTAAGACCCATTGATTAAGTTGCTCAAGTTTAATCCAAATTAGCCTCCCAAATTTTGGAGTGTTAGAAACTAGATTAAGAAGTTAAAGATTTAGATAACAGTAGTGTTGTTGGCCCCTCCTGGGAGTGGGCAGTTTGAGAAGTGGATCTGCCAGCCGGAAACGAGACGGCTCTGCAGCGCATTGGGCTCATTCTCTCTAACAAACATCTGCAAAGTGCTGCAGGCATGTTGCCTTTCTTCCAAATGTCCAGCTCTAGGAGACTTGAAAATTCTTCAAAGGTTGGAAAGCTTTTGATATTTTCTGTTTAGGGATTTGGGCAACAGTAGAATCACACACTAGGTTATGCTAGTACCAGCCATCCAGGGTCACAGACTTGTCTGGGGGCTGAGTATACGCAAAGACGGGGACTAAAAGCCCAAGTTACAGGAAAGATCTCTCAGGATCCTGCAGACTGGGCTCCCGCCAGGTGACGAGAAAGAAAGGGAGATGCATGCTTCCTAGTGTGTGATGATTGGCTGGTTTCATAACGTTCCTCTGCCACCTAGTGGCAGTTAGAGCCTACACGTAAGTCCCACAGAACCTTCTAGGAGTACCTATGTCAGGGAGGATTATCTACAAAACTTTTAAGAATTAACTTCATGTTTTACACAAACGCTTTTCAAAACATCCTTCCTGAGGTTCACCAGAGAGATCAATGAAAACTGACTTCGGGTCTATCATGGTGTGTGGGGCGATGCCCACTTTACAGGGACACTTTGCCTAAGAACTTGTAGCAGGTAACAGCTTTTTCCTTCATAACAATGTGATCCACAGCACAAAAACTACACACACTCACACACACACAGTCCTTGCTCTCTTTATCACTAGACACAAGGAGTTCCACTGTAACTCCCTGGCTGGCCTCTACTGTATGTACTGCTTTGGGGATTCTTTTCTAAGGATGAGGCCAGCCTTTAATGACATCATGCCAATTTGCATGACTGCAGTCTTTTGCCTGGTATCTATGACCTTGCACTGTTCTTCCTTGCCTGGAAGAGCCATGTTCAGTGCTGGTGTTCTGAACTCTCTACCATGACAACAGCTTGTTTTTATTCAGTGCTCAAACTGCATGAAAGAGTGGATGGTATAGGCTTGTTATTTCATTTGAATCTCAAGACAGTACTACGAGCAAGGTACCTACTCTCATCATCATTGTACCTACGAAGAAACTGAAGCACAAAAAGGTTTCATCAAGTGATCAGACCCAGGTGGTCAGATTCCAGAACGTATACTCTTTAGCTATTTTGCCACAGCTTCCTTCAAGTTCATATCATATCCCCACTACTGGACTTTTTGATGGTATGAAATTTATCGAATTTTTCAAGCTGATCAAATTGCTTGATTAATAGTCCAAGCTCATCACTACGCACAAATATAAGGTCTCTCAGCATAAATAAACCCAGCCTTATTCCAGGAGGTGGGTGTCATACTGGCATTGCATGTCAAATTATGTCAAGGACTTCTTAGCACAGAAGCAGAGGCCTGGAAGTGAATTACACATGTGAAAGATCTGTAGCATATTTCAGACTAGCAAATCTCAGTGAATATTTCCCAGAACCATTCCAAAGGAAGAACTTATAGATGGTGTGAAGGAGTGAAATGAGCCCAGATCCAAAGTCGGGCACCTGAGCCCCTCGTATGCAGTCACATGAATTGGGAAACTAATTTTATTAATCGCTAAAAATCATTCTTTCAACAAAGCTAAAAAGTAAAATAAACATTGAAATTTAAAATCTTAAGCAAAATGTGACAGCATAAAAAATACTCCAATTTACACATTTTCAGGCAAACATAACATGGTTTTTTAGTGCTTTGACATGAATAAAATCATTCAGTTTTGTGCCTTTCAATTTTTAAAGCCACTTGAGGTTTTAAGGCCGAGTGTTGCTAAATCTGTTAGATGTTCTTGTCACCTCAGGGTGCTCCTAAATCATTTAAAATTAGTTTTCATTCAGAGAAAGGACATTCTGCGGAGGATAGAGTAATGAGAATGGTCAAAATTAATAATATTAAAGGGAACATACTCCACAAAAACTTATACTCATGTCATTTGAGGTTGCTTAAAGTTTTTTTTTCAATTTTCCTTTTTAATAATGATGTACAAACAGTAATTGATTGCACCCATGATTAATTCTATAGCTCTCTACTTGACTATCTCTATCTTCTCCATATCTTTTACAACAGACGTTTGATT